CCCCCGCCCCGGCGTCCCCAGGATACTGCTCGGGCCTTCCCCCGGCAGCATCTGCGCCCCCCAAAAGAGTATCCCCCCCCCCGAACTCATTTGCCCATCCAGCAGCATCTCACTGCTCCCCCTCCCCTTATTTCCCTCTGCAAAGCTTTTGCCCCCCCAGACGCGTTCAGAGCCAACTTTTGATTCCCCCCACCCCCCGGCCTCCCTCGGAGTGCCCACCCCAACAGCAAGCTCACCACGGGGGTGTCACCAACCCCCTCCACCCCCTCAGCACAACCATAAAATTTAGGGCACCCCATAAAATCACACTCCAAGCCCTTCCTGTGGGATTGTCCCCAGGAAAAACACCCCTCTTTTGGAAGTAATCTACTAATTGTTGTTAATTTGGGGAAAAAGTCTTTCTGACCGAGCTCCTCCCACAAAAATTTTGGTCCACGTGAGACATTACCCACCCTTCTCTCTCCCAGAGACCTGAAGACGAGGTTTCCCTGGAGTCACTTTCACTGGGAGCACTGGGAGAACTGGGTCCTGCAGGTAAATTTTCCCCCATTTTAAGGCAAAAACCACAGGGACGGATTTTTCCAGATCAGCCCGGCCACGGTCTGGTTTCTCCCAATTTTTCCATCCCTTCCCAGATATAAAATGCCATCAAACACGGGGTTCATGAGAAATTCTGAAATTCTGCCCACTTCCTAAGGAATATTGGGCGGGGAAGGGTGTCACTCAAAACAACCCTGGAATTCCTTTGGGATGGGTTAAAATTGGCTCCAAAGAGTTACAACGGGATGTATGAGCCAGCAGCACTAAATGGTGTGTAAGGAATGGCCATAGGGCCAGGGATGTGATGCGAAAGATGGAAAAACATGCTTAACTTTAAGTCTGGGAACCGAAAACACCTTAATTTTTCCTCTTCGGTTTCCCAGGACAAGCAGATGCTTCCAAATCCCCATCCTAAATCCCTCTTTCCAGCTTGTCCCCCCAGAAGAGTCCATCCAGAAAATATTTTCTGCTTCCTACTCAGGAGCAGCCTCTTACATACACTGATGTCTTTTGGGTTGGCCATTGGAGAGCAACAGAAAAGAGACGGTTCCCACTTGGAATCCATCAATAAAATAACAGAGAGATGCAATGGATGGCTGGGATGCATCCCACCCACCCCCACACCCCCCCCAAAAAAGAAAACATTGCTGCATTGCATCGCTGGGACAACCAGCAGGAACTCAGAGCATCCAAGATCCCCTTGGAGATGCTGGAATGATTTATAGGAATTTCTTGCCGTGTAAATCAGCCAACGGGACGTTTTTCCCCTCCCTCATTACTATTCCACGGAAGCGAGTGAAGACGAGGAGCCATAAAGCTGTCGCCGGGTGTCTCAGCCAGCTGGGGATGCTGGGCAGAAAATATTTTGGGTTTTTCAGGAGCTGGAGAATCGGAATGGAAGAATGAAGGGGAAGCAGATGGAAACCCCATCATGGTGGTATCAAAGGACCGCAGGATCATCCGCGCGTGACCTCTCATCTTGCTCGTATGTCATCTCGGAAAACAGGGATATGAGGAGAGAAGGCACACATGGGGCATATTTTAAGCTACATCATTGCCAAAAATACCTAACTGCTCAAAATTTTAGGGTTCCCCTGGTGCAGGAATATTTCTTCTGGAGCCAGCAGCAGCAAGCACCTCACATTCATTCCTTAAGCATCCCAAATTCATTCCTCAAGCATCCCACATTTGTTCCTTGAATATTCCACATTCACTCCTCGAGCACCCCTCATTCCTCTTTCCCAATTTCCACTGCCAGTCCCCAAAGAGATTCCTCCACGGTTTCTGGAATCTCCTGCTCAAATTCCAGGAAAAGTATCCAGGCCTGGATTTTTCCTTCACAAACGCAAAAGCTGCTTCTTCCCTGGAGAGTTTTTCCAGAGGTTAATTATCATCCCTGGTTAAAAAAAAACTCACAATGTCTTATTTCCCAATTGGATTGGCTACTTCATCATCCCGCCATGGGAGCTTGCTGGAATTTTTTTTGATGGTAAATTAAAATTCTCCTGTACTCAATCCTGGGGGTTTTTTCCCCAGGAAAAAAAAAATAAATAAAAATAAAAATCTTTCTGCTGCAACAGGTCATCCCGGGGTGATCTTCTTCTGGTCACAACTCATCCCACCAGCCCTGATCCTCCAGATCTCCAGGACCAAGGATGCTCAGCAGCATTCCTACTGAGCAGAGCTGGGGTGCTTCTCCCCACCCTAGACCACCCTCAAGTGACTGCAACTGGAAGGGATGTCCAAACCCCAAAACAAGCAAACCCTCCATCATGCACCTTATTCCATCCCTATCCTAGTCCAGATTGCTGGGAAACCTCCCCAAAATTAAAGCTCCTCCACCCAAAAATCTCCCAGATTCTGAGGGTCATGCCATTTCCCTGCCCCAGGTGGGACATGGGCACCTCAGGGGGCACTTTCCTTTTGCGTGTCTGAAGTCAGTGTCGTAAATATATAATTGCCCCAAACTCATCAGTGCTCGTTCAAGAGGACACAGCCTGTTCCCTTCTGAAAGCAACGAGCACTTGGAGCACGTTTGCTAAAATATTAAGCAGCGGCAACATATATAACCAGCAATATTTACATTTTTACATAACAGGCTTCAGGAGAAAACAAATTACATAAAATATAGCGGTTTAGTCTCCGTCGTTTGACTGCTCCCCCATAAATAATTCAATTCTCTTTCCAAGATTGCATTATTGCTCGTGTCGGATTTCTCTGAGAAAGCTGTGACGGGATTCTCTGCGAGACACAAGTAAATTATTCAACGATAGATGTTCAAAACAAGGCAGGGTTTTTGGACGCAGCTTTGCGGCTGAGCCTGGCTTAAGCACCGCAACGGGTTGGAGGGACACGATGTCCAACCCCCCTTGGGAGTTAAAGGATGCTGAAAAGGAATCCCTTAAGAAAACTCAGGACTCGTTTCGGGTAGGACGCTGCTCCAAACCGTGGTACCCTCCATCCTTCCAGCTCGGGCACCGCACTGCGATCGGGCGACGATGCTTAACGCAAACCACTCATTAAAATTTGGGTTGGGTTTTTAGGAGACATGTAGGACATGGATATTTTCCCATATCTTTCCAGGCCCTCTCCAGTTACGAGTTTCAAGAAGGGAGGAAAAACATTCAGCATCAGCCAAGGCAGCCTGAAAAGGAACATAGGGACCATCCAAACCTAACGATGCTTGTACCAAATTTGGGATGAAGGTAAAGGATTCCCCAGATTTCAGCTATTTAGCTCGTACAAGGTTTCTATTTAACCTGATTCCCCTCTGTTTATGGTACTTTACATACCCACAGGACAACTCCTCTTCTAAAATGTTGATTTTTACCTGTGTACATGGTTTTCCTGGGAATAATATGAGAGTCAACCCCGAAAGATTTATGGCAATGAGACAATGTTATTTTTGAAGGCACCGTGCATTTTAAATAGTCTCAGGCACACATTAGAGTGAGTAACACTGCGCTGATTCCCCAACTACTAATAGATAAATACATGGGAAAATATAATTAAAGGTTTTACCAATAATCCATAGGCACAAGGAGGATGTATTAAGAATAAGTGATCAGTGCCAGGATGGCTCTATATTCCCAGAGGTTTTCTCAGGTGAGATTAAATAAGATTAAGTTTATTTCTTGTGTGGCATTGATGGATCAATAATAAAGAAAGCTAAAGCCAAAACAAAAGGTTTTTCCCATTGGTGAGCTGCCTCAGCAAGCAGCTGGGATCAAGTGGGAAAATACCTGAAAAAAAGGGAATTTCTCCCCTCCTCACACTGGCTGAGCAGGGGTTAAGGACGGCTTGTTGAGCCAGGAAAGCACTTTGGGGTCCTTCCAGAGGCAAATGCTGGATAAATGGCAGGTTATATATATTTTGATTAGAAAATCCCTGCTGCCAACTTACTCCTTTTAAATGTTTAATTTCAAGGCATAATAAGTCTGTGCCTGGTTTTTGCTGCTCCTTCAGGCTCTCCTGTGCAAAGTTACAGCGAGCATCCGACTGACTGATCCTTTCCCAAGCATTTCCAGGGATAAATAAAAAATAATAATAAAAAAAAAATAAATAAAAAAATTAAAAAAAAAAAAAAAAAAAAAAAAAAAAAAAAAAAAAAAAAAAA